GGGGGGAGGCAAACTTGGTAATTCTAGCCTGTTTCTTGTATTTTCTCACCTGGCAAGTTGCTGGCGTGTTGTGCAAAGTATGTTGGTGGATATTTGAAGTGAATGACCACACACCAAGCAAGCATCTGCTGTCTTAGATAGGATTTTGAGGTTAAGTGCACATCCTGGTGCATACAGTTTGCATGCAGACAGTTTCTTTAGTATTATCTGCAGAACGTCCAAGCAAGCAGGTAGTGACTCGTCAATGGACTCACCACCCTTTTAACGTCTCCGTACTCCCTTTTTGTTGTGCTCTCTCAAGGGAAGTTGGTTTTTCACCATTGATGCGCGTGGTAGGTACTCCCAACTGGTCGATTGACTGCCGAAAGAGGAAAGCCAGTGGTCACTGCTGGCCATTCTGGTCTGTACTTGCCGACTATATTAAGCGTTGCCGCCCTCTAGTTTTCTCGATTTGTCTCACCTTTGATTCTCAACCTTGCCCAACCCTCCATTTTCTCGCCCTTCTTCTCCCAACTTGACAGGCCATAACGATTTCTCTTTAGTCGTAGCCCCACACACACACCCACACCCACACCCCCCTTCTTCTCTGTCTACCTTTATTCGAGAAGCGTAGTAAGTGGTTTTCTTTTCTTTTTCTTTTTCTTTGCTTTCCACTTTTCCCTTTCCCTTCCCGCCTGTCCCCATCTGTCGGTTGTCTGTCTTAACTCTGTCAAGTCGCAGCCTTCCTATTCCTCTTTTTGACCACTAAACCATAGCAATGTTATATTAACAGTTCCATTTCCTCCTATCTTTGGATTCGTTTCACAAACAACTAACAACCTACTTCTTCGCCAAGGCAATCACATCGACGAGACCCCACTTCGCTCTGCCAGTACATTGCATCTCGTATTCAAACATCATCATGTCGCCACCCCATAGTGAGCACTCAAATGTGCCGTCAGACGTGGCTGCTGGCGGCGGGCCAAAGAAATCTCCGCCAGCCGGTACTCAGAAACTGCGAGCACCGCGCATGAGAGCGTCATGTGACGGCTGCTTTCTAGCCAAGGTCAAGTGCTCAAAAGGCAAACCTATGTGCCAGCGGTGCATGACCACCGGTCTTGCTTGCAAGTACTCGCCGTCGAGTAGATCTGGCAAGCCAAAGGCCTCAGACAATGGCAATATCTTGAACGGTGCCCCGCGCCATGCCAAGAGGGAAGGTTTACAGTTTTCCAGCCCAGTCTTTGAAGGTTCCCAAGACTTGATGGCAGGACCTGCTCAATTCATGCAGAACAACTGGGGCAGCAATCAGCAGGCAATGTGGGATTTGCCAACCCATCAGGATCCAGGTACCAACTTTGGATCCGGACCACTTAACGAATCATTGGGCCAAGACATTGGAATCATGGATGGAATATCTCACGATGGGGGTGTCATGCCTTTCAGTGAGAATCTTGCCGACACCAACCCATGGCAATCACAGAATCCCTCGTCCTCATTCTCGCAAATGCTGCCGGGTTCTTCTGGTTCGATGATTCATGGAAGGTCCCAATCCACAGACATGATGATCAGCCTCGTCGCGGCGTAAGTCCCCTTTCTCTTTCTTTTCTGAATTGGGCCGTTATTGATATTTGATGTAGAAATTTTCAAGACACGAATGCTCAAGCAGGACCATCACATGGTCCTCCTCTTGGGCAAATGGCAGGGCCCTCACATGGTCCTCTTGGGCAAATGGCAGTACCCTTACATGGTCCTCCTCTCGGGCAAATGGCAGGACTCTCACATGGTCCTCTTGGACAAATGACAAGCCCCCCCAATCCTGCCCACGCAAGGCATCATTCTGACCCTGCCATCGGTACTGGTCATGTCCTCAGTTGCAACTTCGATTGCACCCACCAGTCGTTGCAGCGTCTTAATTTTATGCTTGCGACCAGTTCATGGCCCTCTGATATGCTTATGACAGCAAACGAAAACCTCTGCGATGCATGGCGCGTCATCATGCGATGTCCTAATTGCATGGGCTCTGGCGCGCGGCGCTATATGGCCTTGGCGTTTCTGGCCACGAGCATGCAAATACAGAGCAGACGCTTACAAGCATTCCTGGACACTGTCAAACCCAATCATGATGGAGTTTTCCCAACTGTCTCGAATCCGGCGGAAAAATTGAACCGTCTTGGTACAGCGATCACCCAGATTGATCAGGCTTATGCTTTGTTGCTCAGATCATTCAACAACGAAATGATTGAACACCCAGGCGTTGCTCAAGCATTGGCAAACGGGGTTCACAAGTCCCTCGATGCTGCCGTGTCCCTCTTGCTGCGGAAGAGGACCGAGTTGGCTGGCACAAACTAATGGAACACCTGGCGGCCGTCTTCACCTTCTCTTTCCCTCCCTATTGTTCTTCACACTCTCTTCCCCTCTCTCTTTCTCTTTGTTTGCTTCGCCCTTATATTTCTACTTCACCTATCTTTCATTCTGCCAACTCACTCAAGCCTGCGTTCGAGGCAGCATATGTGTGTTAGCTTTTCGGAGCACTTTCGGCGTTTGGAAAGAAGGGTCACAAAATGATTAAATGATTCATGGATGATGGATGATGGATGATGGATAACGAATAATGCTTAATGACGGGGACTTTGCATCAGCGTTGTATCGATTATTGCGTTGGAGTCACTGGGAAGGAGATGGACGTCTTATTCTGGAGGTTTTGTTTTTCACGAGCCTTGGGGGAGAGGACCCCCTACTTGGGTCGCTCATCAGAATATTTTCTTTTTCTTTTTTCAATTTGAGCTTCATGCTTTATTTGCTGTGTCGGCGTGCACTGCCAAGATACGCAACACGTAGAACTGACTAGAACCGGCCATCTTTGGCTGTGAGGCCTCTCGCCATAGGTACCGGACTTTGTGGCAGTCTATACTATACCCCTTTCTATTGCAAACTTAATTGACTACCAATTCTTTGAACTTGTACTTTCGTTCTACTGTGAACTACGCATGCGTTTACTGAAAAGACCATGGATACTTGATTTAATCGTTAGCTGCTCTATACCTCCACATCACCTAGTCATGCTTATGGCATGAATGAGCGCGGCTATAGACAATGAATAGATACGCAGCCTGTGATGACAAACTGCAGTGAGAATTAATTCCTGTTATCCCGGCCATTTTGAGAGAGACCCTTTTTGATTCAGTTGCTTCAAATGCATTGTCTTGAAGACAACACTGGTAGTCAATCCTGTGAGCCATTGGAGTAGTACCTTTAAGACACCTCACGCACCCCTGATGGCTAGGCATATCGAAGTTGTACATGGCTGGTCGCAGAAGTAGCCTGAGACTGGAGCGAGCGCGCATGCCTGCTGAAGTTAATCTTACTGTGTGTGTGTATCAAGACTTGTCTGAAAATAGAAACATGCCAACGGCCCACCTTCTGCCACGCTAGTCCGTCAATGTCTCACGAGAGCCTCGATTAAACTCTCATCATGAATGGCACACAAGCCCTCAGGGTCCTGACCGCGGCATCTCCATGGGAAAGAAGTGACTTCCCATGGTGCTGCTGACCGTTGTAGGCGGGTGTCATTTATGTCCTCCCTCCAACGGCTTCCCGAAAGTTGCCAGCTGAGCAAACCTCCATGTATGGCCTGGCGTCAGAGCCGGTAAAGCTATTCACCGCAGACTTTCATGTCTCGCTGAATCCATTTTCATGTTCACTTCACATTGGATTTGTATGGTTAATTGGTATTGTGCTCATCTTTTATCCACAAACAGGATTCAGGGACAGACTATGTAATAAGAAGTGATGATGCAGGATTGGTGAGTGTCAAGTTTTCGTCCCCGTACAATTAGTGCTGGTGGAATCGATATAATTTCTGAACGGGTACAAATAACTCGTAGTGAGCCCACGCTTATCCATTCTTGCCGAAGCACCAAAGAAAAAACTGCACCCATCTCATCTCTGTCATCTCTGTCTCTCTCACTCTCTCACTCTCTCACTCTCTCACTCTTCCACTCTGTATCATCCCAGCCACCGACGATAAATATTTCTACTTTAGCTTCCGCCTATAGCATGCAACGCAGTTTGATCTGTTAGAAACATGCATATCTGCGGCTAGGTATGCTGCAAGTTGCTGGCTGCCCACGAGGCGGCCGCTGGCTTGTGAAAACAGGCTTCGGGCGCAAATGCTTAGAGTAGGACCCTTTGTTACTTCGGTGCTTGAGATACTTTGGTTTATAATATGCAACAGCAACATCACACCAAAAACATGTGGACTAGATGGCTCTGGGTACTTTGATTTTTCCTACTTGTTTCTGGCGATTTCTCCCACCTCCCCAATCTTCCGCTTTCCCATTATCATTCAGACAAATTAAAGCTGACCGACTGGCAGATGAGCTGAGTGATGTTCCTTTCTCGCCCTATTTATGATGTGATATCACTGTAATCAATAGAATAGCGTGTATGTTATAAGCTCACAAAAGAATTAATTGAGTTAAAGTCTGAAACTTTTCTTTTTCCCGTGCCAAGACCTATACTCGCTGTTGATCTTAAACTCAACACATGACCAATTATATCCCATGATCTGAAACACAAGAGGATCACTCAACAAAATCGCCCTCGAAGCCTCTCCAAGTCCCCAGCAATCGTCTTCTTTCAAGAAGAGGGGGCTTTCAGATGCTGTTTGCGATCGAGAACTCAAAACTCCAATTGTGTGACCGTATAGAAACATGGGAAACCTTTTATGCTCTTTCCAGCCCCTCCTTGAACGCATGTAGATTCTCATTTCCCCGGCCAGCGATTTCCATCATGCGAGCGAGGTCCACACTTGCGTGCGTCGCTCATACCCTCCACTCACAACAATGCATGGCATCGAAAAGGTTATTCTAATCGCCACAAAGCCCAAGTACCACCTCCTCATCAACGCGACATCTTGGCCTTGACATCCAAGAGACGGAACCCCTCATCTCATCATACGTAGCAGTGGATAGCTGAGAGAGAGAGAGAGAGAGAGAGAGAAAACCCACAAAGATCGTACGACAGAGACTTTTCATGTCACATTGGCAGCGGAAATACGTTGGCAAGTCACTGGTCCCTACGTATATGTTGTCTAAACCCCCTCCCTGCGCTGCGCTGCAATGCATGTCGAAACGAGGGGAGAAGATCACTTGAAGCTTCACCCTAAAACATACCATCACTCGTTCAAGTAGAAAGAGATAACAAAAATAAAAGAAACGTGGCGGAGCAATTTTTGGTCAATTGTTGCATATGCGCTCATGTCGTCATGACGTGACATGCAAATGCAAATGAAAGCAGGAAGGGAATAAACGGCGACCGGCACGCGTAGCCGTTAAATCAAGTATAAATGGTAAATTCACTATACTCGAGTTCATGAGATGATATTTGATGTGTATTGCTGCAACGTTCCTTTTGTTATTTGTATCTGCTCTATAAACTCTGCCTGGATTCCTCATGAATGGTGCCGAGCATTGAAAATGCTGAAAAATGAAAATGGAAATGGATTGCGAATCATGTATTATTTACCTCGACATATTCATGTCTGCTGTTGCCCCAAGACCCACACAAACGAGACCCATCATTTATTGGATTTTTTATACACCACCACCACCTAAACGATATCCTGTTAGATCTCATATTGCAAGATGGTGAAACTTGAATGTGGGGATGGGGGGAAAACTTACTGCAGCGCAAAACCTGTCCGTTGATCCACTCGCCCTCGTCACTGACGAGCATGCACACGATCTTGCCAATGTCGGCCGGAGTACCGACGCGGTTCAGCGGGCACATTTTGGCCAAGCCATCCTTGATGGTGTCAATGTTCATGCCCTGGTAGCCGCCGGGGACGTAGTGCCAGCTGTTCTCGTCAAACATGTCGGTCTGGATGCCACCTGGGGCCAGGGCATTGCACGTGATGCGCTTGCGACCGCAGTCGACGGCAAAGGAGCGGGCAAACCCTTCCACGGCAGCCTTTGAACCGGCATAGAGAGCGTGGTTGGGGATACCCGTCATTTGCGCGGCAATGGAGGAAGTGAGAATGATGCGCCCCCCTTCGCTGCAGTGCTTTAAAGCGTTTTGCGCGACAAAAAACTGGCCCCTCGTGTTGAGGTTGAAGACCTGGTCAAAGAGCTCGGGCGTAACCTCGGTCTCTTCACACCAGACCTCCATGCCCGAGTTTGAAATGGCAAAGTCAATGTGGCCATAGTGCTTTAGTGCCTTTTCAAAGAGGGCGGCCACATCAGCCGGCTTGGAGATGTCCGCCTGAAGGGCAATGGACTTGGACCCCAGCTTGGCCAGCTCGGCCACCACCTCATTCGCCGCTCCCGCGCTCTTGGCATAGTTGATGATGCAGGATGCTCCCCGCTTACCCAGCTCCAATGCGATGCCTCTTCCGATGCCACGGCCAGAGCCCGTGATCAGAGCAACTTTGCCTGCAAAGGGCCTGTGCTGCTGGCTCGAGGGCAAGTCCGAGGTAATATTGTGGATCGCGGATGGAGACATGGCAAGTTTGTATAAATTCGGTTCCGAGGAGTATGCAGTCGTGATGTGGAGGAAGACGAAGAAGTCGTTTTTGGGAAGAAAATTGGGGTCAAAAAAGATACGTACGAAATACCCGTCGAGACCTGTCGCTATGGACTTGACACACCAAAAATTGGTGTTGTTTCTGAGGCCCTTTTATGTGATTGCGTTCTGCAGCAACCTCAGTTGGGGGGATTCCGGGACGGGGGTTGACGTCGATTTTTTGGGGAAAAGTGACGGACATAAGGTAGTGCAGCGGAGGACCGGGCAGCAATAAGCACAGACCTCCAAGGCAAATGCTTCAGGCGAGTATCAGCGCGTATGACCTATGAACAGATTGATCTTTGCAGTTTTCCAACAATTCATTCTTCGCGATAGCTTCAAATTTGGTGGCCAAGTTTTCGCAAAACCTGAAAGACGTCAATTATCGCAAAAGGCCACAAGTTGTGACTTGGAGTGCAGCATTGATCCTGATCATCTATAATATTGAAGCTAAAAAAACAAAAAATCGAGCCATTTTTGCAGCCTCCAAAACCTCTCAACAGGGATCTGCGAGGGATGGATATTATGATTGCCCTTTTCGGCTTCTGAGAGGTTTTGATTGGCTTGAGTAGTGGCCCCCGCTCACACAGTAAGTGACTGACTATCCGCGTACTTGGAATCCCCATCGGGACTCCGAAGCCCACCCACTCTTTCACTACCTACTCTTTCACCACTCTTTCACTACTGCTACTGCGTAGGTGGCAGGTACCTACCTAGTCAAACAGCTCGGCTGAATTACCGGCCGTTTTCCCCCACGATGCATTCAGTGAACCATATTTTTGATAAATTACTCGATAAAACAAATCTATACAAAAAATACAAACTAGTTAATGTCATGTATTCCCAGAAGGGGGGGGGGGGGGGGGGGGGG